CGCCCCGGCGCGGCCGACTGGACCAAGGAAACACTTGTCGGCGCCGCCGAGTTCAAAGCGAGGCTTCCAGGAGAACCGAAGCCAAAGCGGAGTTTGGGAGCACAGTCCTTTAAGGCCAACCTGACGCCGCCGGCTCCGGGTTCTGGCCGAACCCGGAAGTGCTCCTTTCACTTCCGCAGGGAAGAGGCGGTGACGAAAGGGGTAAGGGAGCGACGCCCCGAGCCATGACGGGAAGTGTAGTTCTCCCCGCTCGTTTCGGTTCCACCTGTCCTGCAAGCCTCAAATCCGGCTCGCAGGTGATCCTCCCTGTCCATTTTCAAACGACGAAATCTCTCAGTTCCCTAATATAGAAGCCTCAGGAACATCATCTTTGATCGCTTTCTCCAGGGGCTCATTAAGCCCTGTGATTTTACTTTTAAAATTTATGATTTGGGAGGCACGTGGTGGTTCATGCCTGTAATCCCAGCACTTTGGGAGACTGAGGCGGGAGGATGACTTGAACCCAAAAGATCGAGGCTGCGGTGAGCCGTGATTGTGACACTGCACTCCAGTCTGGGCGACAAAGTGACACTTCTGCTCAAAATAATAATAATAATAAAACAAATAAATAAAAATTATTCTTTTGACTGGGCGAGGTGGCTCAGCCTGTAATCCCAGCGCTTTGGGAGGCAGAGGCGAGAAGATTGCCTGAGCACAGGGGTTTGAGACAAGCCTCGGCAACTTTGTGAGACCTCATCTCTACAATAAAAAAAAAAAAATTAGCCGGACGTAGTAGCGCGCGCCTGTAGTTCTGGCTACTTGGAAGGCTGAGGCGGAAGGATCGCTGGAGCCCAGCAGGTTGACACTGGGGTGACTGTGAGCATGCAACTGGACTCCAGCCTGGGCGGCAGAGTGAGACTCTGACTCAAAATATATATATTCTTCCAAAAAGTACTTATGAGGCCTGATATGAGACAGGTTCCATACTTGGCACGGAGGTTAAAAAGAGGGATATGACACAGACAACAAGAGAGACAGATAAGTAAATGGAAATCACAGCATAGAGCTGTGTAACACTGGCAGAGGCCAATTTCATTACAGAGAGCACACAGGAGGGTACCTAAATCATAAGGGGTCTGGGAAGGTTTCCTGGAAAAGGTAATTCTGGCCCTAAATCTTGAAGGGTAAGACATTGGCTAAAAGCGGAAGGGGATTCCAGACAGAGTAACAGAAAGTGCAGGAAGTAACAGGACAGCCAGAGGACTAGTTCAGTATGACCAGGATGAAGGTAACTAGTGGCAGATTGTGAGAGCTTTGGGCTAGAGAGGTAGGTGGGGTTGTGCAGAGGAAAGATCTAAACTTAACCCTGAAATTCAGAGAACCATGGTACAATTTTAAGCAGAAGTGTGATATCCATCATGAGATTCAGAAAGATCACTCTGGCAACAGGGTAGAGGATGATAAGGGACCAACTAAAAGCCAGGATGTTAGTTGAGAGGCCATTACATTTGCAAGCTAAGGATAAAATCTTAAACTCCCCACTGACTGAATAGACCCACTCTTGGCCAAGGAAACCTCAGAAAAACCTGGAAAACGGACTTCCAGCCATGACAGGACAGAAGGACATGCATATGTCATTTTACCCCTTCCTTTTGGAGTTTAGACACAACAACTGACCATTATTAATGTTAAAAAAAAGGAAATAAAATTGACAGAACAGACTTTGCAGCGATAAGATACCAAATTATAAACAGGACCCAAGGTCAAGCCGGGTCAGGGTTAGGTTATACACCCTTACACTTAAAGCATAAACTATGTTCTACCTGCCATAAGATTTTTATTTTTCTCTAGCAGCTGAACAAGCACTGCCCTTAAGATAAGCAATATTAAAACAAGCACAAACTTGTTTAGTTCACAGATGCTGACTAACTGAACCCCTGTTCCGCCAGTCATAACTACAGCTTTGATTGCACAAAAGACTGATTTCTGTAACTTTCTCTGGATAAAACCGCTGACCATGGACTGGTTCTGGCTGGTTTACAGAGGCTGTGCTGTTCAGTGCCTTGTGTCCCTGATTTACCTTTTGATAAATAGGACTGAACTATAACACATTTAAATGGTAAATGTCCACCCAAAGGTGAGCATGGGTTGTATGTAACATGTATACTGTTCAAATAAAAATGTGTCAGGAACACCTTCATGAATATTCATATTTCCTCCTATAACCTGTTGAATATGTATGTACCCTAACCCCTCCTCCTTCAAAGTACCTGTCACTGGTCTTCGCCAGAGGTTGTACTTACCAGCCCGAAAGATTGCACCTTAGATGCCCTAACCTCTTATAAGAACTAAAGTCTTCTTTTCTAAATGTATAGACCCTGTGATTTTTATTTTTATTTTTGAGTCAGAGTTTTATTCTGTTGCCCAGGTTGAAGTGCAGTGGCACGATCACAGCTACTACAACCTCGACCTGCTGGGCTTTGGGGATCCTTCTGCCTCAGCCTCCTATGTAGCTGTAACCACAGGCATGAGCCACTACGTCCAGCTAATTTTTTACTTTATTTATTTATTGTAGCGATAAGGTCTCACCATGTTGCTCAGGCTGGTCTCAAATCCCTGAACTCAGGCAATCCTCTTGCCTCCTCCTCCCAACATGCTGAGATTACAGGCATGAGTCACTGCGCCCGGCTGACCCTGTGATTTTTAAATTAACACATACATCTAGGAGAGAAGTGATGAGTTTCTGCACTGTTGTTGGAAAAGAGATGAGGAAAGATGACTTGGAGGTGGCTTCTACATTTTGGTGAATGACTGTATAGGTGTGCAGGAGAGGAAATGTCATCTCCTGAGACCTGGAGAAGAGATGTGGAAAAAATGTATAAGAAGCGTGGGAGGGCTGGGGCGGTGACTCACACATGTAATTCCAGCACTTTGGGAGGCCAAGGAGGGAGGACTGCTGGAGCCCGGGAGTGTGAGACCAGCCTAGGCAATATAGTGAGACCTTGTCTCTACAAAAATAAAATGAATTAGCCAGACCTATAGTCCCAGCTACTTGGGAGACTGAGGTGGAAGGGTTGCCTGAGCCCAGCAGGTCAAGGCTGTGGTGAGCCATGATCATGCTACTACATGCCAGCTTGAGTGACAGAGTGAGACATCAACTATAAAAAAAAAAGCAACTCAACAGATTGAGAATCAAACATGGAGGGGTTGGGAAGAGGGAGATGACTGAAGCCCTCCAGAAAAGCTGGTGCCCTACTTGGAAAACCGTGAAACTATAATGTGCCCAGGTCCTTGGGCTCTTGAGCCAGGATCCTCCTAGCTGAATTAAAATGCCACCTCCTCTGCCCCTTCACATCTCATTTACTCCGTATTCTCATAGCACTAACTAATGTCACTTTCTAACATTTCTTATAAGTATTTGTGTGTGTGTGTGTGTGTGTGTGTGTGTGTGTGTGTGTTTTAGTCAGCTCGGACTGCTGTAATAACCATAGACTGGGTGGCTTAAGCATCGCATTTGTTTTCTCACAGTTCTGAAGACTGGGAAGTTCAAGATGAAGGTACCAGCAAGGTGTACTTCTTTCTGAGGCCTCTTCTCTTGGCTGTTGGCAGCTGCCATTTTCTGTGTGCTCATGATAGGGGGTTTGGAACTGGGGAGTTTGATGTCTCTCTTCCCCTTCTTACAAGGTCACCATTTTGATCAGATTAGGACCTCACCCTAATGACTTCATTTAGCTTTAATCCTTAATAGCCCATCTCCGTATGTCACATTGAGGGTTAGGGCTTCAATATGAAATTTTGCAGTGACACAATTTTGTTCATAGCAATAGATAGATATAGATATAGATATAGACACACACACACACACACACATACACACACACACACACACACATACAAACACACATACACACACACACTTTCTAAGGCTGCCCAAAAAATGTAGACATGCTTTAAGAGATGTTCACCATCATCAGAAGTGTCTGGAGGCTGATGGTGACCACTTTGAACTCCTCTTGCAATTACAGGAGTCACACATGACTTGCATTTATCTTACTAAGTACTACAATTTGTGTGTGTGTGTGTTGGAGTCTCACTTGGTCGCCCAGACTGGAGGCAGTGGCCGCTCCCGGCCACCGCAGCCTCGCCTGCTAGGCTCCGGCAATCCTTCCGCCTCAGCCTTCCGAGTAGCTGGAATTACAGGCGTGCGCTACCACGCCTGGCTGATTTTTTGATTTATTGTAGAGATGAGGTCTCGCTGCCCAGGCGGGTCTTGAACCCATGGGTTCAGGGAATCCACTCACCTCAGCCTCCCAAAGGCGCGGGATTACAGGCTGAGCTACCGAGCCCGGCTGAGTACTACAATTTTAAAACAGTTCTTTCCTTTCTTAAAATGTGTATACAGGCCAGGCACAGTGGCTCAAGCCTGTTATGCCAGCACTTTGGGAGACGGAGGAGAGAGAATTGCCTGAGACCATGGGTTCAAGAGCATCCTAGGCAACATGGTAAGACCCCCATTTCTACAATAAATCAAAAATTAGCTGGACGTGGTAGCATGTGCCTGTAGTTCTAGTTACTTGAAAGGCTGAGGCAAAGGATCTCTGGAACCCAGCAGGTCGATGCTATGGTGGCCATGAGCATGCCACTGCACTCCAGCCTGGGCGACAGAGTGAGACTCCAACTCAAAAAAAAAAAATGTGTATACATTTTTTGGCACCCCAGTATATGTTTTACTGATTTAAAGGATCCTCTTATTATAAATATAGAAAAATAGAAAATGTTTGCTATTGTAAATTCCACATAGCCCATTGATTTTCACAATACTTTTTTTTTTTTTTGAGTCAAGGTCTCACTCTGTCACCCAGGCTGGAGTGCAGTGACACGATCACAGCTCACTCGACCTCCTGGGGTCAGGTGATCCTTCCGCCTTGGCCCCCCCAGGTAACTGGACAACAGGCATGCACCACCACACCTGGCTAATTTTTTTTTCTTTTTGTGGAGACAAGGTCTTGCTATGTTGCCCAGGATGGTCTTGAACTTCTGAGCTCATGCGATCCTCCTGCCTCGGCCTCCTAAAATGCTGGGATTACAGGCGTGAACCAATGCACCTGGCCCAAAGAATACTTGAAAACCATTTTTGCTGAACTTTTGTATCCATAGCAATGCACAGTTGCCATTGATGAATGAGTGTA